AATTCTAGTGGTGATATAAGGCAGCATATTCAGATGTTGACTTAAAGGGCTGTACCTGAAACTGAAAGGGCTGTGTTCCCATAAAAGAAGAGGAATGAGGAAAGGTTATTTGGTAATTGTGCTTTTTAAAAAATAGCTTTATTGAGATATATTCTACCTGTCATAAAATTTACTTATTTGGAATATACAGTTCAATGACTCATAGCTGCACAATCATCTCTATAATCTGAGAATATTTTAGTACACCCCTTAAAAAAAAGCCCATATCCATAAGCAGTCACTTACCAAGTCCCCTCACATCCCCTTGCTCCCAGCGACCTCCAGACCTTTTTCTGTCTGTATTGGTTGGCTTATTCTAGACTTTTCATACAAATGGAATCATATACTAAACAGTCTTTTGTGAGTGATTTCCTTCACTCACCACACTTGCCTGCAATTATAGGATCATCCCTGCCTTCCCCTGATGGGGCTCACTTTGTACAGTTTGTGTTTGTGTATTAAATTGGCTGCTTCTAGGTGGGACGTGAGCATTCTATGTGTGCCTCTGAAACCCAAGCAACGTGACCGCAGCACAACTTCATTCAAACTACCTATTTGTTGACTTCAGGTTGCTTTGCAAAACAGTTTAGTACCTCAGTGTAGTAATATAAGCTTCACTGTAGAGTCTTTTGTCCAACTCTCAAAGCTATAGGTATAAGTGTTTCTTTGACACCATCAGCTTCCTCTTTTGAATGTGGGAAATTGTGGCGACCCAGGTGCTTCTGTGAATTTTGGCAAGAAGAACTGTGAACAGAGAGTAGGGCCCCAGGATTTCCTCATGGTATTTGAGTGTGGTCTCTAGTGCATGAGCATGTGTTTCTGTACTCACTGAAATTTCCTAAGTTGACTAAATTTAAAGCAATTAGATAGGAAAATACCAATCTTCTGGCTGAACCTCAAAACACTGTTAGAAGGAAAGCAAGTAAATCAAAAAAGTGCATGTTACTAATGGACCGCAGTGGAGCAGGGTGCTCTGCCCAGGAGGGTAGCACTAAAGGGAACCAGAGCGCTAGACTTCCTTTGATCAATTTAGCTTATTCTGAAGAGGGTCTTGTAAATTCTCTCTTGAGACTTCAAGAAAATACTTTCTTGGTGGCTGTAAAGCAAAAGCACTGCACACTCAAGCAAATCTGTAGTTTAAATGTTTCAAAATTGTAGTTGCAACAAAATATAAAACCATTGCAAAATGTCCCAAACAACTGGCAAATCTCTGCTCAGTTACTAACTATGGGATAGTCTTTTTTTAAAAAGATTTATTTATTTATGCGTACAAGAGCTGGGGTACATGCCAGAGGACTCACCAGAGACAGAGTGGGGAACAGAACAGGCAGATTGATTGAAATACACTGCTGAGGGGAGCGGCAGACGAGTCAGGAGAGATCTGCTGCACCATGTGGGTAGCTCCCTGACCGGGGATCGAACTTGTGCTACAGTGGCTGCGGGACAGCTTATAGGTTGTGCCTTTTTTTTTTTTAAGAGTTATTTATTTATTTATACAAGTACTGGGTACAGTCAGAAGCATGGGAGAGTGAGAGAATTCACCAGAGGCAGAAGAGGCAGAAGGACCAAAGTACACTGCTGAGGGGAGTAGTGGGTGTGGCAGGAGAGGTCTGAGCACCATGCGGGACCCTCGCCGGTGGCAGGGATCGAACCGGTGCTGCAGAGGCTGCGGGAAGCTTTGCAGCCCAGCGCTCAACTGCTGCGCCACCAGGGGAGGCCCTCATAGGTTGTGTCTTAACACCTTGTGCCACCAGATAGTTCTTAGCCTTAGCCATTTAAGGTTAAATATTTAAGATGGAAATGAGGGGTGGGGATGAGATTTAAAAAAAAAAAAAAAGGAGACTTCCCTGAAATCTCTTTAGTGCCTGTGATGTTTCTAAGAATTTCTGGGGCCTTCTCCACAAGTCTCTTCCCATCCCCACTCTGTTCAGTGGTCTTCAAAATTTATTGTTCATTAAAGTAATTCAACAAGCTTGTTTAAGATAGAGATTTCTGGTCACTATCCTCCCAGATTGTGATTTTTTTTTCTATTTTTTTATTTAAATATTTTATTTTATATAATTCTTACCTCTTTTTTCATCTTTGCACAATGTATGCATTTTCATTTTGGTTATATTCCCCACACAATTGCACCCCCCACCTTATTTTGACTCTAGTCCTTCCTTTCCCTGCCCCTCCCACCCCCAAGTGTGTCTCTGGTTTATAGTTGCTGGTTGATTTTGATTTTTACTTTGTATTGAATAGTCTTTTTCCTGGTCTCTTATTTGGGTTTTCTAAATTCCTGCTATGAGTGAGACCATCTGGTATTTTTCTTTTTCTTTCTCACTTATTTTGCTTGTGATTTAGATGAGATGAGCTGGGCATCCAAGAATAGGGTTTGCAGGAGGCCTTGTTGCCCCAGCCAGATAAGGCACTGGCAAGCAGCTAAGAAAAAGGGCCTCACACCTCGGGGCCGAAGATTTCCAATGAGCCTCACACCGTGGGGCTGAAGATTAATCTATAACCTATACACATCCCTTTGTTTTTTGTTATTGGTCATAAAAAGACAAAAACCTCTCAGAAAATACATTGGGCAATAAAGTATATGCATAAGAATATTATAAGCACATGGCACGGAGAATTACCTGCTTAAAAATTAAACACTGTAAATTTGACCTGCCTGCCAATGGGAAATAATTGTTAGACATAGACATGGCTGACAAGCAATCCAGGACAATGATTATGGTAAGTCCTTCTTTTGCTTTTTTTAGAAGTTTCTTAGGAAAGTTTTTAAATGAAGTTAATTTTGTGTTAAGGAGTTTCTAGGTAGAAAAAGTTCTGATAGCTGAGAAGCAGCTGGTCTCTGGCTGAAGGCCATATGAATAGAAGAGTCTTTTGATGCTTAGGCTTTAGCTGATAGGAGTGTACCAGCGGCTATCGGCTGTCTTAGGCAATTGTCTAGCTGATAATGAGTTTTAGTGTAAGGCTTAGTTTTTTATCTATTAACCTTGAAGGTCGCCTTCTTGCTGAAAGCATGTAGCAGCAAAAAGTCTATGGGAAAAGAATGCATAGCTTATTTCTGCTTTGTTTCTATGCACATGATAATGTAATCTCACTGCTTGCTAAAAATGTATAAATAAAGAACTGCTGAGTCTCTCAGTAGAAATTGCTTGCACCTAATCAAGTGTCAGTGTCTCCTCACTACCTCAATCCCGTTCCCCTTAGCCCTTAAGTTTCACCGACGCCATTTCATCCTTTCAGGGACTCCTGACACCACATTTTGCCGAGGCTGGTCTTCAGTACGGGTTCAAGCTTCCTCAGGGTCCCAGTCTCTATGCTATAGAATGCCGTCTCGTGGAGAAACTTTTCCGTGTAGAGACAGCTTGGTGAGAACTGGAAAAATAATATTCCTTTCTTCAGACAGCCGGTGTCAGTGCGGCTGAACTGACTGCACTGGCTCCTTGGCTGCGCGCCCCTGCAGAGCCCCGGCATTCAGGAATTTCCAACACCAGCACCTAGCAGAGCATACTTTGTAACCCACAGCCCTGGGCTTTTGAATTTCTCTTCTGCTACTAATAACTTTAACTCCAATTCAATTCAGCAAGCATCTATTTGGCTCCCAAAATGCATAAAAGCCTTTTGTTAGATCTGATAAAGGGTTAGGGTGAGCTCGGTAGCTTCCTCTCAGGGCCAGCGTGCTGCCTCTGATCAGCACTAACTGGCTGCCCAGCCTTTTCATCTCATGCCATCTTTGTTCCCACAAGAGGAGAGAGAGTGATGAAAAAATGTGGTGAGGACTATTTTGAAGAAGGATACTGCTGCTCCTTTCTGTAGCAAGCTCTTTCTATGGAATGGACACAATCCTCAACTTGCTGAATTTGGCTCATGTTTTAAACATCTTATTTTCATCCATCAGTCTTACAACTTACCTTACACCTGTCTCCTCTGCCTCGGAGCACCTCATTTTTCCCCCCCTCATGTAAGGCTTTTATTTATTTATTTATGTTTTACAAATAACAAAATTATTGTACTATTTTATATAGTACAATAAATAAGACTTTTAAAACATGGTATCTTCATTGATCAAAAAAAATTTCTCTTACTTTTCTTTTTTTCTGGTATATTTTTAGGTTTTTTTTTTATTTTAACATTTATCATTTTTAAAATTTTTTTAGACAATATTTGCTTTTCCCCCATCCCCTCAGATTGAGTCCCCATAGAATTTCCTTCCTCAAGGTACCCACGTACCACCACCACAGTCAGTCCCCTGTGGGGAGCACCTCATTTTTGAGAAAGACAGCCCTTCATCTTATTAATACTAATTAACAGTACAAATGTGTTATTACACTAATATTAATCAATATCATTAATATTAATCAAGCAAGGTAATAAATCTGCCACTTAGATTTTTCTCTTCTTTCTCGGGTTTATTGATATTAAATTTTAATTTTTTTTGGTTTGATCAAAACCTTTCCATTTCATAATCTCTCATCTCATAAGCCATCAAATATCAGTTGAAAAAGGAAACATCTCCCTTTATATGTATAAAGAAAGCAACAGAATTTAAATATGAATCATTCATTAGTTAAATCTACAAAATCTTATTTCTCTTTTTCTCAATATTTTAAATGGACAAAATCAAGTAAAGTAGTTTAAAAAACAAAGGAATTAGAGCAGCATAAGTAAACAATATGTATTTATTGCTGAGAACAGTATTTGATGAAGATTCAAGGATATCTTATACCACTTTGAAAAGCAAGGCATTCAGCATGAGCCCAAGTTTGGCACATAAACATAAATTGCTAAATTTGAGTAAACGGGCTAAATTAAAAAGCAATTAGAAAAGAAAACATCAGTCTTTCAGCTGAGCCTCAAACAGGTATATTAGAAAAAAAGCATCACATCAAATCCTTTTAAAGAAAACCTTTTTATCAGTAGTAAGATAAACTTTTCAAGAAATGCTAATTTCAAAGTATACTTACGGTTAGAGAAAACAGGCTCCCCACGGGAAGTGTGTGTGACTTGGGAGAGTATGTTACTAGAAGTGAAATATGTGTAAAAGGAAAGTAGATGATATACGCTGTATTTTGTACAGTACAAAGTAGAGGCGCATTGTTTTTATTGGCCAATGTACCAGGCAGAAATGTTTGCAAAGTGTCTTTTGCTTTTACCTTGCAAATGAATTTTTTTTTAACCAAACAAGCTGTGTTCTTCCTCTACAGTGTGTTAGGTATGCTCATAATTCTTCTGTAGTGGAAAAAAGATTTGGTTCATTATATTTGGTTTTACATGTATGGCAGAATTTACCAATAAAAAAATTACTTTCTTTAACATGGTAAATAAGTATGAATTTAGTGTAAATTTATTGCCTTTTTTTTTTTTTTATTGGGAAGCTTATAGGTAGTATTTGGGGGAAAAGAGGCTATTTGGAATTCTACCTAGTCAGATATTTCTTTCTGTTTTTTTTCCTGCTTCTTTGAATTCCTTTGTTTGTTTTACCTGACATTGATTAAATACTATGCTGGAGACCAGCTCCAGCTAGAAGTCGTGTCAGGGATCTCAGAAGGAGAGGACCGGGTAGGTGAAGTTTTTTCGGAGGGCTGAGGGGAGGTGGAGCGAGGTAGGAGTGAGGAAGACACAGACACCTTATTTCGTGCAAGTATCTCCTGCTGAGGGTCTTTATTTATACCTTAAGGCGAGCAGTGAGATTACATCAGCATAAGCATTGAGGCAGAACAGAAACAATCAATACATATTTTCTCATGAACATGTAAAGACTCCCTAGGTCTGACACCTAAAGGGCATTTCTCTGGTAACCTTAAGAACAGTTTCCTAGGTACAGCTCATTTATTAACATGATCAATCATATAAGGCAGCATAACATTTGGCAACAATTAAACTTTCCCAGTTACAGAGTGGGTGTAAAATTCCTAGTCTATGTCCAATTACTAAAATCAATCTATCTCCTAGCACTCAATTAACTTGGCTAATATATTGACTACTTTAAAGTGGTCTAAAACAACTCATCAAATCTTAGTAAGCTCTACTGAAGTCTAACTCTTAACTAGAAATTCCTAACCTCCACACGTCCTGCGAACTATTGACCTCTTGCAAACACCAGGAAATGTACTGCTGCCACAAACATGCACCCCCCACCCCCTACCCCTCACCCCGTGTTAGGCTATGGCTTCCTGAACCCAGGGCAGCTTGTTCTCCATAGTTCTCAGGGCCGGAACATTTCCTTCCTAACTATACCTTTAGCATTTTGTACTTTTTTTGATACTGATTCAAGTGTAAGAATAACAAATCAATTAACTTTTAGGTCCGAATTGGGTTTTCACATGCCAATTAATAAATAACTTCTGCATTAACTAAGAACAAAGAGGAGAGCATTAGCAGGCGTTGCCATGGAGACTCCCTAGTTCAGATCTTCAGTGCAAGAACTCCCCTCTTCTGGGAAGTACAACTTTCCTTCTTGGGGGAGCACAGGAACTCCCCTCTTCTTGGGAGTCTCCCTCAATGCCTGGACCATGTCAAGAGTCAGCATGGGAGGCACAGCCTGCCGCAATACTTTTTGTTAGAAACTGTTCTAAAAATTCGGCAGGTATTAACTTATTGAATTTTCCTCACAGTTCTGTGGGAGTGTGATAATTACCTCTTTCTGACTAAGGAGACTCAGTCACAGAAGTGCAAGTGGCTAGTCGTTGGAAGCTAGGAATTGGCAGAAAACAGCACACTAATCTCTGTGCCATGTTTGCGCTCACAATTTAACCATAAAGTGTAAAGTCAAGCAACAGCCTTGCCCTGGGGGGCACATTTGCCATTTCAAACAAGCGATAGTGTTATAGGACAAGGAGAGGGGCAGCCCAAACCCTGCAAACCTGCCTATTCTAAATGGGTTCTGCCATCCGCCGCATCAACACAAAACATAGGAGACTTTAATGGGAAGGAACTTTAATAAAACTAGGAAACAATACAGGTAAGGCAAAGAGACTAGTTTCTAAATGAAGCACCCAAAGTTACCCGTCCCCTCGTGGGTAAAACTCCATCCATATGGGATCGGCCCAGAACAAGGCCCCAAAGCCTGCTACAAGTCTAAAGCATCTTCCAGTGGGGACCCACAGCAAAGGGTCACAAACAACCGGACAAGCCCGGAAGGAAAAGAGCAAAATCAACATCAAGATAAAAGCTGCCATTGTCACCTCCCCATGGGTCTCACCCACATCTGTGTCACCCAGTCCATGACCAAAAGACAAGCGCAGTTTCTTTACGTGTCTCTAGGCTCCATGTGCCTCCTCCAGGTCTCCTGGCTCCATCCTGCTTCCTTCCTTAGTCTCTTCTGCAGCTTTTCCTCTTCCTGCTCAGCTCCACCCTCCCTTGGGTGGGGCAGGGAACCTCCCCCTTTCCTGGGACCACCCTGTTACAATAGGAAGGCTGGCTGCTCTAATCTCTGAAAGGTTGAAATTACAAAATCAGAAACTGAAAGACTAAGAAGTATTTCAAGAGGAGGAAATACAAATGTAAAAAAATAGCACAAGGAAATTGGACAAATAAATTGACAATCCCCTCTCTCAAAAAGGTGCTGAACTGCATGGAATAAAACTCTTGCTGTGTGACTTGCAAGTTAAGTGACCTCTGCCAATCAGCTTGAGAATCTGAGCTTTTGTGTCCTCACCTCCGAAATTAGAAAAATAAAGCTTACTACCAAGTTCATTGGGGAGTTTTCAATAATGCTTGACCAGTTTTAATGCTGAATATATATGTAAGCTGATTTCATTGACAGATGCTTGAGATACCAACTGTCATCAAAACAATGTCTCCCTCAACCCCTGACAAAAAGGACATCCAGTCTTAACAAGGTTTTAGGTAGTATTATAAATTGGTACTCTTTTCAGGAGACAGTATTGGCTATATAGCATATAGCAGAATAAAAAATGTACTTAACTTTGGCTCTGCAATTTCAAAGAGTGAACATTTTTTTTTTAAGATTTATTTATTTTTATGTGAGAACCGGGGTACAGGCCAGATGCATGGGAGGGTGAGAGGATTCACCAGAGACAGAGCGGGGAACAGAACAGGCAGACTGAGGAAATACACTGCTGAGGGGAGCAGTGGGCGAGACAGGAGAGGTCTGCTTTGCCATGTGGGGTTATTGCAGGCCAGTTGGGATTGAACCCGCGGTGTTGCAGAGGCTGCAGACAGTTTCACGGTTGGCGGTTGGTGCTCAACTGCCTGCACCACCAGGGAGGCCCAAGAGTCAACATTTTCTTACAATGACTTCAATAGCACTTTGTTTGTTTGTTTATTCTGGTCCCAGTTCTGAGTGAATACACGAAGGTAAAGGGTCAAGTCACACCAAGTTTGTGTTAAACATGATGCTACCCAGAGTGGAGAATACAGCAACTTAATTACCTAGCCCATCCCTTTGAGATATGCTGAGAGCAAATGGAGAAAAACACAAGATGACATTATGTAGCCAGCTAGAAAATGTGGACAGAACACAATATAATAGAGCTTAACTATTTTTTAAATAATATTTATTTATTTATTCATGCATAGAATTGTCAGATCAGAATGCAAATGTAAACAGAAAAATCTAGTTATATGTTCTTATCACGATTTGCTGGAGCATAATATACAGAAATTTTCACTCAGGATAGATAAAATTAAGCATGTCTTAATTCCATCTTCCATTGTTTTTCATACTTCTGAAGCAGTCTCCAGGTTTTTACAGAAAAGTATCTCTCCATTTCTCTTTGGTCTCCTCTACAAGTACCCTAATTTTCACTTAGGATAGATAGTCTACCAGTAGACTAATCAAAAGTAAGCTAGTGTCACTATTGTGTTGTCAGACAAGTAATGTCATAGTACAGTGAAATGGAATGAACCACAACTGTCTTCATCCACTTGGATCAGCTCAAAAACATGCATGGGAAAAAGCAAGCCAGAAAAATACATGTGGTGTGAAGATATTTAAGGAAAACCCATATAGTGAATATGTATTTTATGTCAAAACATATTGCAAAACCAAAATTTTACTGGTCAACAATACATGCGCATATGATGAAACTATACAGGAAATCAAAGAAACTGTTAGTGCAAAATCCAGAATACTCTGACAGAGAAAGCGTGGGCAAGAGCAGGGCAGGATGCACCAGGGGGTCACAGGTACTGGTGATATTAAGTATTGTTAACAGGGTGGTGGGTTTATTGGTTTTTATGTTGTTATTATTATTTTCAAGATATATTTGTATGTTATATTCCCACTTGTCTATAGATTTCCTTTAAAATGTTGAAGACATTATTCCATGGTCTTCTGCTATCTGGTGTGACTGGGGAGAAGTCACTTTAATTCTCATTCTTTGGAAATGTTCTGTTTTTGGAAGCCTTTCAACTTTTCTTTTTTATGCTTATATTTCTGAAATTTCACAATGGGTTTTCTTTTTGTAAAATTTCCACCTTTCATTGTGTTAGATACTTGCGGGTCTTTTCGTACCTAACATTCTTGTTCTTCGACTCTAGGAAAATCTGTTATTTTTTTCAGTAATTGATTTCTATGCCAATGCATGTCTTAATTCCATTTTCTGTTGTTTTTCAATGCTTCTGAAACATTCTCCAGTTTTTGCAGAAGAGTATCTCTCCATTTCTCTTTGGTCTCCTCTATAAGTACTCTAGATATAGCTTCTTCGTTCTTAATTCAATTAATGTTCCTCTACTTTGTTTTGTCTTCTAGAAATTTATTGAGGTCTTTTCTGTCTGCTGATGACACTCCTCCCTGTTTCTTGGTTATAACAAGGAATCTTCATGAATAGTTTCAAAATGTTAAAATCTAAGTTCCTTATCTACTGGCTATTTAATCCACTGTTTCTCTACCAGTTTTTCTGAGATGAGAAAAGACCAGTGAGTTTTCTTTTTGTAAAAAGAAGAGTCAAGATAATTGGAATCAGAACTTAAATGAAACAATACCTGCACCCAAAATACCCCTTACTCACTAACTGTTTAATCTTGGACATACAAGTTGTTTCTTATCTATGCTTCAATTTCAGGTAACATGGGAGTAATAATACTCAATATGCCACTAAATAGGATAGAAAACTCTAGGTTTCATGAAATTTACA